ACATAGAAGCTTGTGGTGGAAATTACATAGGGTTGCAAGAAAGATTTTGCCTGGAATGCAACTGTATTCAACAAAATAGTAACCATGGCAAGACCCATAGAGAGACATACATGAAGGGTGAGTTTAGCAACAAAATGCAATCATCTTAATACATAATCATAGAATCATAGAATGGTCTGGGTTGGAAGGGACCTTAAAGATCATCTAGTTCCAACCCCCCTGACATCAGCAGGGACACCTTCCACTAGACCAGGTTGCTCAAAGCCTCATCCAGCCTGGCCTTGAACACTTCCAGGGAAGGGGCATCCACAATTTCCTTGGGCAACCTGTTCCAGTGTCTGACCACCCTCACAGGAAAGAATTTCTTCCTAATATCTAATTTAAACCTACCCTCTATCATCTTAAAGGCATTTCCCCTTGTTCTGTCATTAACTGCCCTTATAAAAAGTCCTTCCCCAGCTTTCTTGTAGGCCCCTTCAGGTACTGGAAAGCTGCTATAACGTCTCCCTGGAGCCTTCTCTTTTCCAGGCTGAACAGCCCCAACTCTCTCAGCCTGTCCTCATAGGAGAGGTGCTCCAGCCCTCGGATCATCCTGGTGGCCTCCTCTGGACTCGCTCCAGTAGGTCCATGTCCTTCTTGTGTTGGGGGCCCCAGAACTGGACACAGTACTCCAGGTGGGGAGGGATAATGTTACAAACTAACCTACCTGTCTGCTTTCTCTCTTTTTTGTTGTGTAGAACAAAGCATAGTTCCACAATTTGTACATCAAGCTGGAAACTGCAGTGCAGGTAGGAATAAGCTACTTTGCTGTCAAGCTGTCAAAGTCAGACAGAGTTGTGCAGCTCCGCTCTCAGCCAGTGACTTCTCCGTTATATCTCATGGCTTCAAGCACGACCATGCAGATGTGCCTTGTAGCTTGAGCTCCCATACATTGGTGGCAACTTGAAGAAAGGTTCACTCAGTAACTGCAAATATTAAACAACTTTGGTAAATACAACTTTTTCATATGCACTAATATTTATCGCCAAATGTCTTTTTTTTATTTTAAATCAGAAACATGAACTTATCCATTTCCCAGGAAGATGAAGCCTGGGTGCACTTAGGGACAAGGTGCTTGGCCTCCATAGAGATGTGAAAAAATACCCTGTTGTATAGTCAAGGACTGATTAAGAGGTGGTATTGTCACTGACTGGCCAGTGTCTCACACAACCCTGTTCCCACCTGGATGCATGGTAACTACAACTCTTCCATGATGTGCATTACTCACACTACTGAGTCCACTGCCATCAGCAAGGTGCTCCAAATACTCGCACCCTCCCTTCACTCAAGACCTCTGTAGAAGTCAAATGGCAGACTGAGGAAAAAAATCCCTTTGACTTCCAAGCTGTTATTCTGAACGTTGGATAATGTTTTAGCCATTGCCCGTCCCCACTGACTCTACAGCTATGCCTGAGATGAGTAAATGGGACGAAGATAGGTAAAACCTGATAAACGTCAAACGTTTTGCACTGGAAATGAAATCCGTCTTCTGTGGCTCATCGGTCTCATTTCTTGATTTTTTTTTTTTTTTTCCTAGGCAGGTTTAGGCCTCATCTGCACGGAAACCTCAAGGGGAAACCAGGGGTTAGTTTTCAGTCAGCAGAGCCTTTTTTCAGAAGCTCCCATAGATGTCCCTTTAAAATGAGGAAATAGAAAACCCGTAAACTGGGAAGTAAATCCTGAGTCTCTTCCCAAGCCGTCTGCTTGTGTTAGGATTCCTTATCATTCAGTGTTTTATTTCTGAGAATTCATTGACATATTACTCCAATACAGATCAATTAAAAAAAAAAAAATCGTCAGCCTACTAGAAGATGGTTCATCTCTGTAGATGAAACAACCACCTCTACCTTCCATTTTGAATAAATTCAGATGTTAACTGAAGTGGTCTGGCTTATTACCAGTTTACAGTAATCCTACTCCACTTACCTGAAATTCTCCTTTTAATACAACTCTGATGAAATATTTGTCATCTCTCAACTGCCTGCAATGGTTGCAAAGTGCTACAGGAGCAAGAGTGGTTATGGCAGGGGCAAGTAAAGTGATTTCTTTATAGACAGTGATAAAATTTTCAAGAGCATCCTCCACTGACACTAATCTGTTTCCCTGGAAGAAACATGGACTTCCACAGGCACTGATGGGAGCTGAATTAAGCAGACATGGGTGCTTTCATACATCCCAATGCTCCACCAGCATATTCTGTATTGCTGCATTGAAGTAATTTAGTTTATCAGTTGACTGGAAAGACAGAACTTATAGAGAAGAAAAAAAAAAAAAGCTGGAACTGTAAAAATCAGTATCATCAAATTAAAACAATGAGGGTATATGAGAAAGGCAATTTTAGTTTCACCATGATGGTTTGTTTCTAGTTTCCTTTGATGCCATATTTTGCTTAATAATTTTCTGGAAGAGAGGTAGCTTGAAATTCCCTGGGAAAGTAAAGGAGTAGAGATGAAGTTAAAAATGCTCCTTCTATTTCAAGCAGTGTTTTGGTACAGCTGTTTGGCAAGCACTGTAAATACTTAATGGCATTTTATTTCAAGGCTCAGAGGCTTCTTTTACAAGCTTATCTCCTTTATTGCTCCAAAACCCAACACTTTCCTATCCATGTACAATGCGTTACTAACTGAATCCAGCCCAGAAACTCCTTTGAGATGTCTGCGTCTTCTGAATATCCCAACGTCTCATGCTGAGTTGGAAAGTGGAAGCCACCTTCCTCTTTATAATAGCAACAGTTTAATGGCCAGGAGAGGTAACTTACCCCTGCACCCACAGGCAGTTTATATTTATTTATTTGTTACTATATTATACAGGTATTTTGTGATCCTTCAACAAAATAAGAAACATCATAAATACAAAGGGTCATCCCATAAAATGATACTCTTTTCAAGTGGCAATTTGGAATAATTTTCTTGATCTGATGTGCTCTTTGAGTAGGGAAGTTGCAAGCGGAACTGATGCTCAATTAAAGATGAGAGCAAGAAATTAAATAACTGCAAGTATCTTATTCATCAGAAGACTGAGGGCCTTCTGCAGACAGAAGAAGAAAAGAAAACTATTCTCCAAATTATTTAAGAAGCCGACAAATAAGGAGAGGTTTATTAATCACTGTGGTCTAACCTCCTTAACGGGAAGAAGTGAGGGGGTTTCACAACTGCATCAAAGGGGGACCCAAAGGTGGCAGACTTTTTTCATAGTTTGTGGATGGATCTACACCCCTCGGTTTGTTTTGCAGGATGGGGATGCAGTTAGAAATTCTTCTGAACCAAAGCAATAACGAAAACAGGGTGCATGCCAAAAGGTAAATGAAATTCATATTCTTTTAAAGTAAGTAAGTAAGTTATAGTGTCTAATAAAAGGTAGAACTTTTGTGTTATTCAGAGCTGGAGGATGTCCTGATTTCCAGTTCAGATACAATTAACAGTTTCATTTCACATCATTCTTTTTCCTCATAAGTGAATATCTGAATCACATACTGAAAAAAGCAACTGCAGACCACTTCTATAAATGTAGTTACAAGTGTGTGGTACAGACAAATTGAAGAAAAAAGCCTCGCTTTCTCCTGGTTTTCTAAGAATGATTTTTTTTTTCTTCCCAAGAAACCTTCAGCCCAGCAGCTAAGGCACTTCACCAAATGGGATTTAGACCCTTACTTTCTTTTGGAAGCCTCATGTGCAAAATTGTTGGGATGGTTACTACAGGCTTTGCAGGGCAGAGACCTTTAGCATCTACCCTGTCTATAAAATTCTGCCTCCCCCCATTCCATTTACACCCACACTCAATTCTTCTTCCCACTACAGACTCAAAAGCAATCAAAAACCCAAACCCTCAGTCCCAGTTCAGTTACTGGCACTGATGGTATCTGGCAGCACTGCTCCTCTAATGGTAAGAAGGCAGGAAAATATATGTTTAATGGGAATTATGAAAATCAAAAAGTACTAGGTTCAACTTTTTGAAAAGCACCTTTTTCCCCCACACCAAAAGGCTCATTGATTTCTTGCTCAAGTTCTGACCAAAGCGAAGCTAAGGGGGTGAAAGGAAGGGAGAAAAAGATAAAATCTAATCTTGGGAGCTATGTCAAACAAGTTCTTTATGGCCCAACTGAAGCTGATCATGAGACAATTCCAGAATGTAAATATGATTTAATATGTGGAAAATGTTAGGAATCTGTCCAAGCATAGTCTCTAGGTGAGAAATAGCTCTTCTTTTCCCTTGCTCCCATAATGGTTTTGCATGTCCTTGTCCTTGAACTTTGTATTCCTTGAAATCCCAAGTAACTATTCACATTAATAAAGTGTTGAGGTGTTTGACCAAGAAGATTGGCTCTGCTGATTTCAGCACTTGAAAAGGGAAACCGCTCTGTTGTTTTAACCACTTTCAACACTCACCATCTCAGTTTATTTTCTTACCCCATTTAACTTCTCTTTAAAATCAAACAGGAAGCAATTAAGGTAAGCCTACTACAAAGCCACCCTCAAAATACATAGCTGGGTCCCTAGCACAGAATAAAGGTCATGCCCCAAAAATGTAATTGTATGTATGTGGAAGGAATGCAGAGGCCATAGGTTGGGGTGACTGCTATAAAGATACACCTTGACTTTCAGCAGGCAGATGATCATGGCCAAGCCAGACATTGCTACCATCACCTTCATGGAGGCACTGGTGGCAACACTGGTTGAACCAACAGAAGGGTGGGAGGAAGAAACTCAGCTCCCTACTGAGCTGCAAAACTGTCATATAATTTCCTCTCACCTAACTCCCCTTTTGACTTTGATCAGGTCACTGCCATGATGACAAAGGGAGGGATATCATGGAAATAAGCATCTAACGACAACAGTAGAAGACAAAGCAAAGTCTTTACACAGCATTTAGCTAATTATATTTTGGGCAAATATTTATTTATCTAAAAACAAAATAAAAATCATTTTTAAAAGAAAAAATGTATTTAAATAAAAAACAAAATTGTGAAATGTTATGGCACAGAAGTTCAAGACAAGTATAAATCCAGTTGCCACAACTGTTGCGTATTAATGTTGCACATTTTTCTATAAAGACTTTATTAAAGGTATTTACATGGCAATAAGATGTGTAAATATATACAGCAATCTGGGGACAACTCTTTTTTTTGGATTCTCATATGAAAAAATGCCTTAAATACAAAATTTTAAAAGAAAAAAAGTTGAGTTCATCCCCAAGCATGAAGAATGTCCCATCATCCCTTATGCCCAAAGTATCAATTATGAGGCAGTTTTGAGGTTCTGGCCAAACCCTTGGGAGATTCAGCCAAGGTTGTGTAGTCTCAAGTTAAAATCGCACAGCATGCAATTGCAATAGTTCCATACTTGATGGACTGGTGTAGTTCATGAGTGATATTAGAAACATTAATATTTTATCATAGTCTCAGTCTAGTTTGGGTTATTCTAAGCGATGCCCAAGAGTTCCTATGCACAAGAGTTCCTTAGCTGCTCAAGTTTGTGTTTCAACTGTTCTCTCCTCCGCCTCAACTGCTCTTTCTCTGCGATCAGTCTGTGTTCGTCCGACTGGATGGAAAGAACGTACTCCGTTGCTTTTTTCAGGATGACAACCTTGGGCGCCTTTTCATTGTTGGCCACCTCAGGTATCTGGTCACGCAAGGCAAAGAAACTCAGCTTCAGCTCGTTTCTCCTCTGCCGCTCCAAGACATTGTGCGTTCGCCTCTTGTCGTTCTCTTCCGAATCTGACGTGCGGGGACTCGAGCATTTGCGGTTGTTGCTGATCTGTTTGAGAACTCTGCCACTGTCCAACTTTAGCCTTTTTGCAGCTGGGTATTCAACCTTGGTGGAGGGAGAAGCGGCGTAGTTGTGCTGATGGATGTTTACATGACACCGTTTGAGAACCAGTGGGCTGTGGTGGGGCTTACTGTGCTCTTCTGATGTGTCTGTGCTGGACTCTGTGCTGGATTCAGATTCATTCGCTTCAGCTAATGTAACGACATCAATTTCCTCATCTTCCTCTTGTTCTTCTTCTGCAAGGAGGAAAAAAAAATAAATTTATAGGCTGATCTAAGCAAATACTCTCAAGACCACTGTATTTATAAGGGAAAGTTGTTACTCTGAGCTGCACGTTGAGGAACCCATTGACCAACCCTCCTTAAAAAACCCATTCAATGTTGCTGGACTCCGCTTTGCCCAAGAGCCTTTCCTTTAAGGAAGCAACACTTCCAAGGACACACAGACTGCGCTCCAAACCCCGGCTCCCTGATTTCAAAAGTTGCAAAGATCTTGCGTAATCCCATGAAAGATAGCAGGAAAGTTTAACCTCGGTTGTCAGCAGTACAGCGCAATAAAGCTCCCAGCCTCAAGCTGCCCTTAATTAAGGATTTAGAAGGCTTTTGGCCACGCCTCACAAGAAAGCTTACTTAACACACAAGTGTATTCAGAGACATTTTCTGAATCTCTCTTGATCTGCTAGTTTGTGGAAAATCCTTAGGAGGGGAAGAAGAAGAAAAAAAAAAGCAGGCTGTAGCGCTTTGAGCAGAAACTCACTTTCAACCCAAATTTATGAGGGAGCGGAACACGCTGTCAAATACCTAAGGAAGCATTTCTAAAACTTTCCCAGCCCCATTCACTGCTCTGCAGTCACTTTCACTAGCACCTCCCCGCACGTTCCCCCGCGGCTCTCGGGCGGGA